TGGCCAGGACTATTTACTTTTTAAATGTGGCCACTAAAAGTTTTTATATTAATTACATGGCTCACATTTGCTACTCATGTTATATATAGTTCTATGGAACAGAGTTGTTCCAGTATAATAATAACTATCTCATATAAGGTTGCTTGTTGATTGGCTAACATTTCATTCCTTTATAATTTAAGTTCCTAAATCCATTGGCATTGACAGATAAAAGCATTCATTCACATATCAAAGAAAAAAAAAAGGTGGATCGCATGTCCTACAGAGCCCATGCTGAGAATTTATTGGTCACAGCTCAAAAAGGCCAAGGAATTTAATGATTTGTCCTTGGTATCAGCCCTGTTCTTAGTACAAGACCCAGGACTATTTGCTCATTGACCTTTTATCACAGGACAGTTCAATGAACAAAATTGTGAAATGGTTTTCAATGGCTGCAAAACGAATTCCAGCTGAATATAACAAATATTTGAATGCTTCATGGGTGCCAGGCATTGTGCTAGGAAGCAGTGTTTATAGGGCATAAGTTGTCACCTTAATGTCCGAGGAACTTCCATTCAGTTCTAAGTGAAAAACAAAATTATTTTCATACTTTTCTCATCTTTATAACTTAAATAATAATATGTCTGTATGGGAGTGTTGTCTTAATTTTCAAATTCTAAACTAAATATTTGATCCAAGTAAAAAAGCTGTTAAATTTCCAAAAAAATACAAATACATGTTAATAAAATATTAATTTTGACTTTATGGAATATAAATTAAAGCCATTACCATTTTTTTTTCTCAAAGCCGTCTTATTCATTTTGGTTATAATTTAGTTAAAGCTTAAAACTGAAATGTATTCTCTGAAATGTTCTATTTATTATAGGATGAGGCAAAAGTAGGCTAACAGTTATAAATATGGAAAATAATAAAATAATTTATAAATAATAATATAAGAATAAACTCTGTTTTGCATTTTCAGAGCTATAAACCTACTTTTCCCCCATCTTGTATATTCTTTTCTTAAAGGGCCGGATTTTAACATCTATTGATATCATTACATGGTTATATGGCTCATTAAGGTTTGTTACTAAATAGTAAACTTTAGTTTATTTAATATAAGGAAATTTTATAAATATTCTTGGTGAATTTAGAGTAATGCACTTTATCCAGAGTAATTTTTGGCTGTGAGTGTATTACAGGAATTACTTTAATTACTTGCTTTAAATTTCTGAACACTGTTGCTTAATTCTCTTTCTATTAATATCATGGCTTTATCTCTTTGTCACTTAGGTCATCGAGAAGGAAACCTGGCCTTGTAATCTCGGAATAAATTCTACTTTGCTATGATCTTCTTCCAGTTTGGTGATGGGTTTAATTTAATATTTTAGCTGAATACTGGGTTGGTCAAAATTTCAGTTTTTTCTGTAAAATAAAAGAAACATTTTTCATTTTCACCAGTAACTTTATTGATTTGGATATTCTGAGTATGTCAGCTATCTACCACTATTGCTTCTAGTGGGCAGAGGCCAGGACTGCTGCTAAATCTTCCAACGTATGAGACAGCAAAGACTTTGGCCAAAATGTCAACAGTACCAAGAAACTTTGCAAACCATTTGACATTTCGATCAGTCACAGCACCTTCTCCATACACTACACAATTTTTTGTGTGATTCAGTTGTGTTTTTACTTTTCTTGAATTAATAAAGCATAGTATGCAAAAATGTTGCATATTTTCTTCCATCTTTAATATTAAAATTGCTGCACAAAAATTCAACCATTCAAAATCTATTCAACTGTGCCTGAAAACGTTTGACTATTTAAAAACACGCCCTAATAATGTGTTTTAGAGGCTCCAGGTTCTCACTGGAAATTTTTTCTTAATATGTGACTTCTGTCCCCCACTAACCTGTTTTTTTCCAAATTCCCAGAGATAACAGTATTATAACACTCTGGTTGGTTAGGAAATGAAACTATTCACCCACACGTTTAGCAAATATTTAATAGTGACCTAGTGTGCCTGACAAAACAGTCACAGTCTCTGACCTCGAGGAGGTAAGCTAAACAAGTGATCACACAAATAAATGTGCATAGTTACCAACTGCTCTCAAACAGAGAAAAAAGGAGGGAGCTAATTTAAATCAGAGGACCAGGAAAACCTCTCTGGATCTAACATTTAAACCAAAACCTAAAGAAAGAATGAGAGTTAACACTGAAAAGAATGAAGGTATCCTGAGGTAGAATGTGTGATGGCCTTGAGGTAGGATGCAGCTTGGTTTGCTGCAGGAAATAGACCAGCTAAACAAGAATATAAAAAAGGATATGAATGGAGGAAATGAGTATACAGCCATAGGTGAGACTTTGTAGGTTATTTACAGGATTTATTTTGAGCAAAGAGCAGAAACAATAATACTGTTAGTTATTAGTGGCAACCATTGTTCAGTTATCATGTTAAATGCTTTAAATGAATTATCTCCTTTAGTCCTCACTTTAACCTTCATTTTACATTGAGAAAACTGAAATTCCATATGGTTGGATGATTTGCCCAACTCACCTGGCTGGTAAGTGGTATAGGATATAACTCCAGAGCTCATGCTCTCAACCACTTTGGCACAATGTCTCCCATGATCATATTTATATATTTATACACACAATAATTTATACTAATAAATTTATATATATAAACATGGAATATGTTAACTATGAGATGCATGTAAGACATTTATGTCAAGATATAAAAAGAGCATTTAGATATATAGGTCTAAATCTCAGAGGAGAGGTAAAGTGAGGACCAAGTTATGCTGTTAGCCTTTATATAGATTAAAAGTCATAGGAGTGAATGAGGTTGCCTAAGACCAGGTTGTAGATTGAGAAAAAAAATGGCCTGATTAATTCTAACATTTATAGATTGGATACAGATAGTTAAAATGTCTACTTTGGCTAAGAAATAAAAAAAAAGGGTTAACCTACTAGATCAGGTGATGTTTCTAGTAAATAATTGTGAAAACATTCTCGATTAAATTTTTGGGATTTAATACAAGTGCATATTTATGCCTATAGACCATCCTTTAATTTAAGAGAGATTACAATGGAATTTATTAATGCCCTCCAGAAGTATGAAAACATCTTACATTCGCACAAGATAGAAAAGCTACTCTAAATTAGACATAAGGACATACAGAGAATTTATAGCTTCAGTTTTACAACTTCAATCCTAAGCTGAAGGTCAACACAAAAATTCACTAGCCCAGATCTCAAAAAGCTGCTCTTCTTTCTGGTGGGCACAAAATTCTTAATTATTTTGACCTTGCAAAGGACAAACAAAAAGACTAAAAAAGGGGATTCTCTGCCATTGCTCTTCTAATAGAGACCAGCTCTCCATTACCCAACAGGTATTACCAAATGATCAGACCATAAAACCAAATTTTCAATCACTGCCACTACCAATGTGGAATGACTTAGCCATACGCAAATCAAAAAAAATTAGTCATTAAAAAGGAAAAACAGACAGTAAACTTAGTTCTATAACCACTTTGGATTTACTCAAAGAGCCAATAAAAGATGAGCCTGACAACCCATGAAGCTTGTTCCTTGGCCATTGTTGGCTCCGTCATGTGAGTCTATTTGGGTATCTCCATGGAACGTTGAGATTTCCAATGATAAAGTATAATTTAAAAAATATAAAGTCATGTCTCTCATGAAAATATAAATGAACATATGCCAAAATTTTATTCAATGCATTAACTAATGAGGGAACACGTAAAATGTTAAGACCAATTCAAAGAGTCTCTGAAAAGCTAGGCCTATATTAGTAAAGAAACGTTAGCTTGAGATTGCAGGGTTTGATACAAAACTGATTAATGCTTTACAGCATGATAAATTATAACCTGTGGGGTTATGTGGTCCCCCAAACAGAACTTATTTTCATTTCCAACACACAAAAATCTACAGGTTAACCTCTGACCCTATGGAATCATAAGAGTCCAGTCAATATAAAGTCAAGGCCAGAAAAGCACTGAAAAACAGCCAGTAACCTCTTGCCCATTTCCAAGTTTTGGATAATTTTTCCCATAGGAGTGAGATAGTGCAAATATTGTGTAGGATGTATATTTACTAAAAAGTTGTTCATTTAGCTGAAATTCATATTTAACTGGGCATCCTATATTTATCTCTTAACCCTAATAACAAGTTAACAAATTTCTAAGGCTGTACAGCTCAGTTTCCAACAATACACCTCTTAAATCTGGGATAGCTTCATATTAGATAATAAATATTGGCCAAAAAGCTTGGGTTTTTTTTTCCATAAAATGGCTCTATAGCACTTAGTTGTTATTAACTTCATTCGAAACAAGTATGTTAGATTATATTATGACAGCTGTCATATCAGCATGCATTAAAAAGACGTATCAAAATTGGTGAATTTTTGTGTAGCCATTTTAATATTGAAGATAGAAGAAAATACACATTTTCAGTGTATTATGCTGTATTATTTTAAGAAAGGTAAAAACAACCGAAATGCAAAAAAGAAATTGTGCAGTGTATGGAGAAAGTGCTGTGGCTGATCAAACCTGTCTGCGAAGTTTCCTCCAGAAGATTTTTCCATGCTGAGTGGTTGGGTAGACCAATTAAAGCTGACAGCAATCAAGTTGAGACACTAATTGAGAGCAAACAACATTATACCACATGAAAGACAGACGACATAATCAAAATGTCCAAACCGATAAAGTTATGAAAATGAAAAATGTGTTTTTATTTTACAAAAAAATACTAAAAAGAATTTTGGCCAACCCAATATTAAGTCCTATTTCTACTGCACTCTTATTCTTCATGTATACCACTATGAGGCACACACAACTTACGGTCTACTAACCGGAGGAAGTGCATAAGACACCAAGGGTTGCTACTTCGCCTCCCCGAGCTGACCTTTCAGGGACCTATGAGATTTCACAAAACGCCCCGCTCAGCACGCCTTAAGCATCTGTGCGCAGGCGCAGAACTGCCCCCAAGCCAGACCTGAACTGCGCAGGCGTTCCAGTGAGCGTGGGGGGAGCTGTCGTGCGCCCTGTGGGGGAAGGGAACCTAGGTCGGTGGGCCACAGGGATCCTGAGGCGCCGAGTCTGGGGGCTGGGAGGGGCTACTGGTTTGGCGTCGAGCTGCGCAGTGCGTATTTTGTGCTCCATGGACAAGCCCTTCCGGGAGGCACGCCGAGAAGACAGCGTGGGGCTGATCCCTACGGGCGGTTCGGCCCCACACCGAGAGGATCTCAGCAGCAAGGTGAGTGCGGGAGGAAACGAGAAGGCCCGCAGGCTCGGACTGGCGCCGCCGACCCCTGAGAAGGTGCAGCGTGGCGGCAAGGCCGCGTCTCGGCTTGGCCCAAGTGCCTTGCTGCTTTTATTCTTAGCCCTGGCCAGCTACAGTTAAGGGAGACCCCGAAACGTGCCCGGAAATGAGGCCCAACTGGCAGTGGGCGGAGATTTGGTCTGCACGACCTGTGTAAGTTCCACCGGCCACAGATCCGCTGTTCTGAGAAAATGTGGCCACCATCCGTGCAGTTGTCTGTCCCTGACGTCCACCAGGAAGCCCTGTCCATTCTACTTCTGAAGCTCGACTCACGCGTGTGCCTTTGTCACCGTGCGCACGCTTACCGTCCCCAACCAGCTGCCGTAGTCTGCACGCTGTCGGGACTCGGCCACGGCCCGGACTGACTCCTCCTCCTCCTCCCCCCTCCTTACCTCCCTGCAGTCTGTTTTCCACTGGAGCCAGGGCAGTGATCCTCAGACCCCTGATTGTCCTCCTTCCCCCCGAAAGAGGGGACAGGGAAGCCTATGTAGTATAAACCTTATCTGCCCTTGACAGAAAAACCCGCGAAAGTGTATCGGGGTTGGGGATGGTTATAGCCTTCCGGGTATTAAATGCCGTACATTCTTTGGTTGTGTCCGAAACGAATAGTCGTGTCTGGGGCAAGTCTCTAATCCCTCTGTGTCACTTTACTTGTTTGAATCAAAGTGAAATATGTGCATACCTGCCGTCCCTAAAATGCACGGGAAAGCATTGAGCAAACACAAGTTTCGAGGTTGTGCAGATTCGGCCTCGGGATTCAACTGGACCCAGTCAGTTGCCACACTGAAGGTTAACTGGGAAGACAAAGGGGTACACACTCGTGGCGGGTTGCATTTTCAAGCCGCAGGCAGCCCAGTCTGATTTCTGTCGTGCCAGAACAAGCCACTTCTACTGATGTATGACAGATACCTAAGGTATGTGAGGTAGGACACCAGTTACAAATTTGGTTTCAGAGGCACTGGTGAAACTACATCATGCGTCATGTTCAGAAAATAACTACTATTATTGAAAAGATGAAAAAACGTGTTTTCCACTTAGTTGAGCCCTCTCCTACTAATAGTGAAGCCTCCTGCAGCCATACCTGCTCGGTGCTAGTCTCTGACACAGAAGGAGGAACAAAGCGAAGATGGAAATTAGTGACCGACCCAGATGGGGCGTTTGGTACTATTTCCATGTTCTGAATGCCTCGCTGCACCATTTTGGACATAAATCGTGAAAAATCATTGGTATTTGGGGCAGGGGGAAGTAACCCATCCCTCTGTTTGGTATTCTTTATTTTGAAAAGCTAAGACAAAGCAAAACCGTTGAAAAACTGGTACATATTGTCTATTTTAAGTAAAGGGTACAAACCTTGTTTAGTAACTCACCTTGTTTAGTAACTCCGGCTCATGCATGAATGCTGATTACCAATAACAACCTTCCTGGGGCTGTCTAACACTTAGTGAGTCTACTCTGTTTCTTCCTCCGACTTTCCCACACCTGCACCCTCACACACACTGCTGCAGAAGAGAATCTTATTCATAGTCTCACTTGGGGGGTAGTGTATTTTTTTCTTTGTATTTTAATTGTTCAAGTACAGTTTTCAGCCATTTAATCCCATCCCAGCCCACCTCTGAGCCCTCTCCACCTCCCTCCACCTCCCTCTCCCATTTCCCATTCCCTTGTTATTGTCCATGTGTCCTTCATACTTGTTCCTGCAAACCCTTCCCCCTTTCCCCTGAAATTCCCTCCCCTCTCCCTTCTGGTCACAAACTCATTTGGACAATGAGTACATTATAGCTTGTTTTCCCATCTCTACTTTTAATGGGTCCCCATTTAACATACTTTGAGAACTTCTGATTTAAGAAATTTTTTCTTCATTTCAATAGATTAAAGAACAAAAAATTGTTGTGGATGAACTTTCTAACCTGAAGAAGAACAGGGTGAGTTATCAGAGTGATTATAAATCTCATGTAGGAGGGTTCGATTATATTTTATTAACTATATGCTAAAGTTACAAGAATTTTATATAAAATATATTTCAGTATCTTTTTAAATTGCAAAAGCCAAGTCTCCAAGCTTATATATATGTACATAATACATAGATATCTATTTAAATGTAAATGTATTTACCTTAAATTTTGTAGTTCAAGAGAAAATATAGATATATAGATACCTATATATTAATCATAGTTGATAATATTTTTCCTCATATAAAATTCACATTATCTTTGAACCAAATGATACTAATTGTACCATGATACCTTGGAGCTGTAATAACTAATGATATTTATTTGTACTTAAATTTGATATTTTCTTTAAAAATAAATGAACTTTAAATATATTGAGAAAGAGGAAACAGTTTCTTTAAGTGAAAGTGGATAATTGTTAAAAAACAAAAAGGATTGCCCTGACTGGTGTGGCTCAGTGGATTGAGTGCTGGCCTGCGAACCAAAGGGTCACTGCTTCAATTCCCAGTCAGGGCACATGCCTAAGTTGCAGGCCAGGTCCCTGGTATAGTGTGTGTGAGAGGCAACCACATACTGATGTTTTTGTCCTTTTCTTTCTCCTTCCCTTCTCCCCTCCCTGTAAATAAATAAATAAAATCTTTAAAAAAGAAAGGATAAATTGCTTCCCCTCCCACTCCCCCATTTTCTTACATAAATGTTCCAAATATCTAACATGGTTATTTAATGCCATTTCCATTAATATATTCATAAACAAGCGAATTACTGTTTCATGTGTACTTATACTGCCAAAAAATTACACTTTAAAGTTAAGGAAGAAATGACTTTGAACCCTTTAAAGTATTTTACAGTTTATTTGATAACTGACAGGTTAGACATTTCTGATATTGTCACTTGTATAATATTAGAGGTTAAAGCACAATTGATACAGACTTTGTAGAGGGAAAATTGGCAGAATGTATCAAGACCTTAAAGGTATGTAACACTTCAACCCGGCAGTTGCATTTACAGGAATTGATACTGAGGAAAGAAGTCATAGGAGTGCACAGAGATTTAGTTACAAATATGTTCATCATAGCATAGGTTTATAATAGCTAAAAGTTGGTAGCACCTTAAATATCTAAAACTTGAGGACTGACCAAACAAACTGTAATACATTATACCCATACAGTAATGTTGTAAAACAGTAATGCTGTAAGACAACACATTAATAAGAAAAAACCTCTTAATATATTGTTCATTGATAAAAGCAAGTTATAAATCTGTACTTACAGGAGACTTTTTATTTGTTAAAGAAAAGTAGTACTATGGTATTTGTAGAGAAAAAAGAGTTCATCTCAGTCTTAATGGTAACAGTAGCAGGATAATGGGTAACTTTCATTTATCTTTATGCTAAGATACTGTCCTGAACATGTGACTGATGTTCAAGAATAAGTAATACTGGGGTACAAAGTTTTGACATCCGCTGCTTTGTAGATGAAATCATAATATTAGCCTAAATTGTGTTTTGCAGAAAGTATATAGGCAGCAACAGAACAGCAACATTTTCTTTCTGGCTGACCGAACAGAAATGCTTTCTGAAAGCAAAAGTAAGTTTTTTTGGTATATTATATAGAAATACACAGACATTTTTTTTGCAGTTTTTCTGTAGAAATTCATGTCAGTACCTAAATTGTGCTGTCTATATCAGTCTGTTTTAATAGGTATCTAAAGATTGGGTAGTGGTACACATCTTAATAAATTTAATGCAGTACTTTGGTTTTCTTCAAGTTAGCTTTCCAAAGATGAGTTTATAGTAAAAGTGAAAATCAAATAAAAATAGGTATGATGTGTTAGAGAGCTCTAATTATTGAAGTGTGCTTTAGAGTTTGAGATAGATCTAGTATGAAAAACTATTCTACCACTTTCTGAAACCTTCATGACTTTGCATGAATTACTATGAGCCTCCAAAGTCTGTGGGATTTAAATAAGATGGTATATGTAAAAAATGCACAGCCCAGTGCTAAAATAAGCATTTAATATACTGATACTATCTATTTTCCTAAAAGGTAAATTCTCCTATGAAAAGCCTGTTGTAATTATTTGCACTAATACACTGCACTGTACTCAAATGGTTTGATCTTGGTAAATATGTTGTCCTGTGAATTACTAGGTAAAACTGCAAGAATTTTTATTTTACTTAATATTCTTGTCCTATTTCCCCACAGATATATTGGATGAGCTGAAAAAAGAATACCAAGAAATAGAAAACTCAGAGAAGACCAAAATCAAGAAATAGTCTACTTGATTTCACATAACAATGTGTGGCATTTGTTGTTCTATAAGCTTTTCTATTGAACATTTTTGCAAAGATTTGAAAGAGGATTTATTGTGTAATCTTAAACGACGGGGACCCAATAGTAGTAAACAGTTGTTAAAGTCTGATGTTAACTACCAGTGTTTATTTTCTGGTCATGTCCTTCACTTACGAGGTGTTTTGACTGCCCAGCCTATGGAAGATGAAAGAGGTAATGTGTTCCTGTGGAATGGAGAAGTCTTTAGTGGGATAAAGGTTGAAGCTGAAGAGAATGATACTCAAGTAATGTTTAATTATCTTTCCTCTTGTAAGAATGAATCTGATATTTTGTCACTCTTCTCAGAAGTTCAAGGTCCTTGGTCTTTTATATATTATCAAGCATCTAGTCATCATTTATGGTTTGGTAGGGATTTTTTTGGTCGCCGTAGCTTGCTTTGGCACTTTAGTAATTTGGGCAAGACTTTCTGCCTCTCTTCAGTTGGCACCCAAACATCTGAAGTGGCCAATCAGTGGCAGGAAGTTCCAGCATCCGGAATATTCAGAGTTGATCTCAAATCTACTTCCATTTCCAAATCTGTGGTTTTAAAATTGTATCCTTGGAAGTACATTTCTAAGGGGAACGTTACCAAAGAATGTGTTGATAGCCTGACTCAAATTTCTGCAAACTTGCCGACGTTTGTATCAGTGGTAACAAATGAAGCCAAACTATATCTAAAAGAACCCATTGTTCCTTTAAATATGACATTGCCACAAGCTTCATTTGATAGTTGTTGCAGTAATATTTCCAACATTTCACATACAAGAGAGATACTTCAGGTCTTTCTTACTGATGGACACATGAAAGAAGTAGTTCAGCAGTTCATTGATGTCCTGAGTATTGCAGTCAAGAGACGAGTCTTGTGTTTACGTCGGGATGAATACCTCACACCCAGTGAAGTTTTGAAAACTTGTGATAGGAAAGCAAATGTTGGAATCCTGTTTTCTGGGGGTATTGATTCCATGGTTATTGCAACCCTTGCTGACCATCATATTCCTTTAGATGAACCTATTGATCTTCTTAATGTGGCTTTCATGACTGAAGAAAAGACCATACCAACTAGTTTTAACAAGAAAAGGAGAGAACAGAAAAATTGTGAAACTCCTTCTGAAGAACCTTCTAAAAATGCTGTTGCTGCTGCTGCTGCTAGTCCTGATAAACAATTCATTGTACCAGATCGAATCACTGGAAGAGCAGGACTAAAGGAACTACAAATGGCTAACCCTTCCCGGATTTGGAATTTTGTTGAAATTAATGTTTCTGCTGAAGAACTGCAAAAATTAAGAACAGCCCGAATTTGCCACTTAGTTCAGCCCTTGGATACAGTGTTGGATGATAGTATCGGCTGTGCAGTCTGGTTTGCTTCCAGGGGAATCGGTTGGTTAGCGACCCAGGGCAAAGTGAAGTCCTATCAAAGCAGTGCAAAGGTATGACAATATTACCACTCAGAAGAATTCCTGAGACCTAATCTTGGTCCTTAAAGCTTTTAGCATGTAAGTTGTGAAAATATAGCGTATTTTAATTGCATTTCAACTACAATACAATGTATATGACTTTAAAAATTGGTCACATTTTACTATTTTATGGCTTTGCCTTATGGATTTTCTCTGAAAATGTTATCTTTGAGGTAATAATTTTTTAAGCTTTACCTTTATTTTCTTTACTGTATGGTAGATAACATGTTTATATGTATTTCTGTAAACTGCTATAGGTAGTTCTTACTGGAATTGGTGCAGATGAGCAACTTGCAGGTTATTCTCGTCATCGAGTCCGCTTTCAGACCCATGGGCTGCAAGGATTGAATAAGGAAATCAAGATGGAACTGGGTAGAATTTCTTCTAGAAATCTGGGTCGTGATGACAGAGTTATTGGTGATCATGGAAAAGAAGCAAGGTAACACCAATTCTCTGAATGTTGTGTAATTTTGTAAAAATAATAGACTATAAAAGGAAATTTTTAGGTTCGTTTTTTTCTTTGGAGACTGTTCAAGTAAATAACTGTAGCAACAATAATATTGTGGCTTTATATAGCAAACATAGATGGCAGCAAAGGAAGATGTGTCATTCACTTTTGAAAAGAAGATGTGTTTAAGTAGTTAATTTATTAACTGGTAGTTTATTATAAGCATATGAGAGCAGGGAGTCCAAATAAGCTTCGTGGGATGTAGAACATCCTAATACACCAACCCTGAGACTTCTTTGTTTCTTGTTTCTGTTCGAATTTTCCTCTTTCCACTGAGCTGTGGTTGCCTTTACACCCTTGTCATTCTTATGTTGCCTGTTCTGACATGTAAAATCTTGATTACTGTCTCATGATTCTAGTTTTCAAAATTACATTATAAAGAGATAATGCCACATTACAAAGTCTGTAAAATGTTACTCCTTTTGAAGGGTGTGTGTGTGTGTGTGTGTGTGTGTGTGTGTGTAAGAGAGAGGTGGGGGGAGAAATTCAGTCTGTTATTTCAGCTAGGTCAATGAAAAGGAATTTAATTTTATTTAGTGAAAGCAGTTAATTCTGAAGGTCCCATATGATACTGTCAGGTAAAAATGGATATGAAAAATGTTTAGAACATTGTGATTTAATAAACACCATAATGGCTAAATCTAAAAAATGTATTATGTACTTTCACGTGCACATTAACAGTAATCGATTGATTAGATTCTTAATCTAAATATTCTTTTACAATTAATTAATTTTTATAGAACATTCCATTTAACAAGTGCCTTTACCCTTCTTAGTCTCTACTTGAGCTAGAATCAAATACAGTGAAATACAAACACTACTATAACTATATTGCATTTTGAGGAACTGGGAGGAAAGAGAATGTTAAAGTACAATATTTTAAACAGAAAAAAGAACAATTTTGTAGGAAAACAGGAAAGCCAAAAGTGCAGAGTTATTTTTTAACATCTAATACTTTGTTCTATCAATTAAAATGGCTTAAATGCAATTAAACTGTTTTAATACTTAAAGTTTAAGTTCAAGATTGTAGAGCCTTTCTGTATTGGTTTCATATCCTTAAAGTGTAATTTCTTAAGACATGATAAAGACCAGATAGAAATTGAATAATTGACTTAAAACTATGCTTCTTTAAGACACCCTCAGACATCCTCAAACATATCTTATAAAACAATTTGAAATTATTTCTTGATATCATAGGTCTGATTTAATTATTGAGGCAAATTTTTGTAACATACATATTAAAATTATATATTATGAAATACTTTTTATGTGATTAAAGGTTAGCTGCAAAACTGTGTGAATAACCAGAATATTTTTAGTTTTTTTTTTTAATTGTATGTATTTTTAGAAAGACAGGGAAAGAGAAAGAGAGGGAGAGAGACATCAGTGTGTGGTTGCACCCCCCCCAACCAGGGACCTGGCCTGCGAACCAGGTATGTGCCCTCATTGGGAATCAAATTGGCAACCCTTTGGTTTGCAGGTACATGCTCAATCCACTAAGCTATACCAGCCAGGCTGAAGAATATTTTTAACTGAGGAAAATAGTACCTTGAAAAATTAATTTTATACTGTAAATTATAACATGGAATAAAATGCAAAAGTACATAATAAGTAATTATGACATTGATTTTATATTTATAGTGTTTCTATTTATCTATTTATTTTAGATTTCCTTTTCTGGATGAAAATGTTGTCTCCTTTCTAAATTCCCTACCAGTTTGGGAAAAGGCAAATTTAACTTTACCTCGTGGAATTGGTGAAAAACTGATTTTGCGTCTTGCAGCAGTGGAACTTGGTCTTACAGCCTCTGCTCTTCTGCCAAAACGGGCCATGCAGTTTGGATCCAGGATTGCAAAAATGGAAAAGAATAATGAGAAGGCAGCTGACAAATGCGGAAGACTCCAAGTCGTTTCCTTAGAAAATCTTTCCATTAAAAATGATATTAAAACATAATACTTCACAGTGTAATAACATTTGCTAAATAATTATTATATAAAAATAAAACACTGCTGCTCTATTGTATAATGTAGTAATTATAATGTAGTAATTTTAAAATTCATTATGTGAATTTTTACTGAATATAACCCATTTAGTCACATTGACAGACTATAGAAAGAATGATTACACTTGAAAGAACAACTTTTGTATCTTAAACTGTGATATTAATTAACATTGCTTTCAACTCTGACATGGTTAATGTCCCACCGGCAACAGAAGGCAGCCTTCACTGACACTTTTCATCATGGTAGCTACATCCAAAAATCACTCAGTTTGTTGTTGTCAGGATCATGGCTTACATGGGACTCTATTTGACAGGTGAGAGAACTAAGGTTTAGAGAAGCTAAACTATTTGCTTATTGCTCGGAGCTTCATGCTCCTGAGCAATACTTGGTGCTTCTGTTACATTTCCTTAGGCAACTCATTTCCCACTCCGAAAACTTTTGAAGACTATTTTAAACATTCTCTTGTCTCATAAATCTCTAATACCTCCCTCTCTGCCCCATTCTCAGCTCATGACCTGGGCTTTTCACAGTCATCAAGCGACGGATGGACTCCACTTTCCAACATCAAAACTTCTGATGCACCTGTAGGTAACACCTATCCTTTTCTCCCTTCGTGCCACTGGGAAAGGAAATGTATTAGTCCACCCATGAAAAGGCCATGCCTCCACATGTTCTCTGTATCAATTCTTCCTGCTTTTCAGGAATCTTATACTCTCTCCAGCATCTTTGGCCTCTGCTATAGGATCTTCCCTATCATTATTTACATATTGCAGTCTATACCAATTTAAAATGCACATCTCTAGACCTTCATCTTCCTCTATTTACCATCTGCTTCTCATCCACACTCGCTCTTCACCTTTTCACCTGATTCACTCCACTCCAACCTGACATCCACCCACAGTATTAAGCTATGATCACCCTACTAAGACCACTGCTGGGGATCTGTTCCCAATTAGGGCCGACGTGCTTTCTGAATATGGACATGCTTTGATTCTGAGTCATAGAAATATTAGGGTACATTCAGGACAGACAGAATTGTCAAAAGACTTTCGTATGTCCTGAATTTATTCCCTGGTGAATGCAATTTTTAAACCAGGTTTAAATATTACCTGAATAGCTTTCCTCTCTACCTAAGAGCAAACAACTTCTAAGTGTCTGGTACTGAGTGCTAATTTGACATTGCTCATGGTGGGAGTGGGTAACTTAAGAGGCTTGCCTGGCAGCCCAGAGTAGACTATATTAATTTTTATAATATAGTTTAGTACTAAAAACAGCTATTGTATATGCAGTGCCTAATCAATTGAACCTCTAAGGAATCTCCAGGTCATCTGCTCCAGCAGGATACTCTGTGCGCATGTTTGTTTTTGTTGTTTTTTATGTAGTTCCCAGAGGGCCTGATTACTTACAGCCTTGGTAATTCTACAAACAGGGATATAGTTCTATGTTAATCCTTAAAGGAATAATCTTTCTGAAGGTTTGAGACACTTCGAACAAACCATATGGGTTTCTGAATAGGAAACATCTTATGTAGAGGAATTTACATGTATTCCTGCTTTATAACTGCAAACAGAAATCTCTTAAAAGCCGTGATTTTTGACATCCCCTTCCCCAGCCCATGGTCTTGGTTAGCTTTCCTTCCTGTGCTGTCCATACATCTGAAATCTGTCACACTGTTTAAATAAACCTATACAATCATCCGTGGGGTTTGGCGCTTGGTGTCTGCCCTGTGTTCCAGGTTCTCCAATTCCCAAGGCAATGCCTGGCTCATAATAAGCGGTTCATGAATGTCCAGGAATGATGATGGAGGTGGGATTCCAACTTAGGAACTGCTTTAGAGCCTGGTGCTGATGCCTCTGACACTGTTTTTGTTTTCTTCACTGAGACAAATAGTGAAGGTAGAAGAAAGTAATAGGCCAGGTAATCAGAACATGAGGAGTGGCTGAGTTTTAGAGAGGGCGGGGTAGAATGGGGGTGATGCACTTGTACTGGAGGAATCTGTGCAGCCATCAGTGGTGCCCCAGGTGCGAGGACCAACGGCTCTGATCCCTGCGCGGGAGGCTGGGTGGAGGGACTTCCAGGGTGGCCACACAGAACAAGCAGGCCTCCCCTGGCTCTCGCCCAAGCAGGCTTCCTGATGGTGGATTCTCACCCAAAGAGAAGCCATTCCTGATGATCACTGTCTCCGGCCCCCAGGAATATCCCAAGGACCTGTTTGGACGCAGTTTCCCTCTTCAGAACAAGAAAATCATTTCAAAGTAGGTTTCTACACTTTCGTCTTTTCCCCTTTCCCTTCTCCGTGTGGGCATAGGTATTAGACTTGCTTATGGATGACCTGGGTTGGTCCTGATTCTGAAGGTATGAAACCTTAGGCACTTAGTTTCCATTTCCATTTACACAGTGAGGGTACTTACTCTCTGAGCTGAGTTCTCAGAATGCCCTGACAGCATCACCATCACCTCTTAACTTTTCAGAAATGCAAATTCTCTGGCCCCACTCCAGTCAACTGAATCTTAAAACTCTAGGGTTCGGAAATGTTTTAACAAGTCCCAGGGGTGATTTCAATGCAGGCTAAATTTTGAGAACCACTGTGAAAAAGGGGGGGATAATTAAATTAAATATTGGTATGAAGAGTTAAACAAATAGTAGATGTTCACAACCATAGTAAATAATGGTTGTGATTATTATTACTCCAGAAACAGAGAAGTAGTTAGTTACACAGAAACAAAGTTAAGCAGGCAAATTTTGCCTTTCCTTTTCTTTTAAGCAGATCTTTATGTTCTTGCTTTTAAAATTAAAATAAAAAATAAGTATATGCCAAATAATAAGTATATGCCACTCCAACAAAAAATAGCTATGCAACATTAGCTTCTCATATATAAACTTACATTTCTTTTTGACACTATTAACATCTTTTGACTTCTTAGAAAAGCAGAACTTACTAGTTTAATTGTTTTAATTCAAATCGTAATTTTTTATGCTGAAATTGGCTTAAGATTGAAAAGTGTAATAAACTTTTCAGGAGTGTATTGCATTTTTCAGTGTAATACAGGAGCTACACTCCTGGCTGTACCCAATCAGTGGAATGAGCACAGGCTGTGAACCAAAGGGTTGCCAGTTCAATTCCCAGTCAGGGCACATGGCCAGGTTGTGGGCCAGGTCACCAGTAGGGGGTATGCGGGAGGCAACCACACATTTATATTTCTCTCCCTTTCTCCTTTCCTTCCCCTCTTTCTAAAAAATAAATAAATAAATAAATAAATAAATAAATAAATAAATAAATAAATAAAATCTTTAAAAAAAAGAAAAGTGTAATAGATCTTACCACATGACCCAGCAATTCCACTTCTGGGTATTTATCTGAAAAACATGAAAACACTAACTTGAAAAGAGATATGCACCCTCATATTTATTGCAGCATTATTTTCTGTAGACAAGATATGCAGGCAATCTGTGTCCAACAACACAATGGAATATTATTTAGCAATAAAAAAGAATGAAATCTTGCCACTGTGACAATATAGATGGACCTAGAGGGTGTTATGCTAAGTGAAGTAAGTCAGAAAGGGAAATAGAAATGTTGTATGATTTTTACTTATGTGTAGAATAGAAACAAACAGTAGAAACAAACTCATAGATACAGGGAACAAATGGATAGTTGCCAGAGGAGAGGGGGTGGAAGAATAGGTGACAAAGGTGAAGAGGGAATAAGAGGTAAAAACTTTCAGTTATAAAATAAGTCACATGGATGTAATGTACGGCACAGGAAATATAGTCAATAGTATAATAACTATTGTATAGTGACAGAAGGTTACAGGTCATATGGTGATCATGTTGTAAGGTCTATCAGTGTAGAATCACTATGCTGTACACCAGAAACTAATATAATATGGTATGTCAACTATAATTTTATTGCTTGTTTTTTTTCTTTTTATTTATTATAGAAAATTCAAAAAGGACACACCAGAATTCATTAAAAATGTTAAAACTGCCCAAAAAAGGATTACCTAGATTTGATCAAATTCAAGATGAAGAAACTTACCTGGAAAATTTAGCAGTACAGAGAAATGCTTCTGCTTTTTTTGAAAAATATGATCGGAGCGAAGTACAAGAGTTGCTGACTACTGCACTGGTTAGCTGGTTGTCTGGTAAAGAAGACGTCCGCTATCAAATAGACATCCCGGGTGGAATTATGAGTCAAATGAATAATGTAGCCTTCAACACTGCAATCCTGCTGACTCCTGTGGACCCTACTGCCCTCTTAGACTATAGAGAAGTCCATCAGATCATAAGGGAGTTGGCTGTTGGGATTTATTGCTTAAACCAAATTCCTTCGATTAGTTTAGAAGCTAATTATGATCAGAGTTCTTCTTGTCAATTACCTCCAGCTTATTATGATACCAGGATCGGGCAAATTCTGATCAATATCGACTACATGCTGAAAGCACTGTGGCATGGAATATACATGCCCAAGGAAAAGCGAGTCAGGTTCTCCGAACTGTGGCGTACCATCATAGACATTGATCCAGATGGAAAGCCTCAAACCAATAAAGATATTTTTGCAGAGTTTAGTTCTGCAGGTAAGAGAATTTAATACATTTTACTTTTATTAGAAGCCATTAAAAAATTGTGTGTGTGAGTGAGAGAAAGATTTTTTTAATTGAAATGCTTTGGGGTGATGTCGGTTCACAAAACCGTACAAGTTTTAGTTGTACAACTCAACAAAACATCATCCGTATACTACATCATGTGTTCATCACCCAAAGCAAAGTCTCAGTCCCCATCTATCCCCCTTTGCCCACCTCCACCTCCCTCTACCCCTCTTCTGACTATCACCACACTATTTTCTGCATCCATGTGATGATAGATAGATAGATAATAGATGGATGATAGATAATAGACAGATATATTTTTTCTTAATTCCTTCACATTCTTTCATTCAGTCCCCCCAAACCCCCTCCACTCTGACAACTTTCAGTCTGTTCCACATAACCATGCCTTTGTTCTGTTGTGTTCGTCAGCTTACTTTGTTCA